TGTCTATGAGAGCTAAGGCCTCTTAGAGACAGTCTTAAGTGCTACCCCGCCCTACATTCTACCTAAGCAATGTTTTCTCTCTTCTTCCATTAAAAGGTTATGCAAATACTGGTTGGCTTTGAGAGAAACCACCTTAAAATACTCTGAAATGACAAAGGCTACAGAAAATATTGTGACATTAGAGAATTTCTTTAATTGCAGAACAATTTTAAATACATGGATCAACTTGTCAGCTGTTAAAAACTACTAAAAAGTAATCAGAGCACACTGAGTTATAACTATTGAGGATTTGGTTTTCTTAGGCATTTTTTCGTTTTTCCTTGCACAAACCTGTATAATTGGGTTTCTGGAAATAAGGCACCTAGCGCTACAGGTAAATGACAGTAATGAGAAGCAGACATCTCAACCCCATATTGACACTATCAGATACATTTACTTTTAAGGATTTGCCAACAGACAGAAATTGCATCAATTTAATTAAAAGATGTGATATTAAGCCATATTGTAAAGCCATAGCACTTTCAGTTAAGCTCTACAACCTGTGTATGCAAAGCCAACAGGGTAGCAAAGAAACTAAAAACTGACAAACCATAACAAAATATATAACAGAGCCAGATTTGGTACTAGAGTGAGGGAGGTTCCACTTATTGAAATTATAGCAGATTCATCTGTCTCCAGGCTGATTATAGCCTGCTAGTTTTGATTTTTATTTAAATTATGGGCTTGTTTCCACACATAAGTTGTATTCATTTAACTGTATTGGCATTGCAATTAAATTGGTGCAATTTTTGCATGTAGATCTGGCCACAGAGAAAGTGTTTATTTTTGAGAAAGCACATAGTATATAGAGCTCAGACAACCATACTGCATCAAAGAGAGTCTCCAGTTGTCAATATCTGAAACAATACAGCATGTCACACACCTGTTATAAAGTTCCTAATTGGTTTAACCAGAGCAGTGAAGGCAGAAACCTCAGGCTGCCTGTGTTCCCACATAGGCTGCCAAATAATAAGGCCACTGGCCAGCCGAAAAGTTAGGTCAGACTCCTGAAGAGACACAAGGGGATCATACAACATTTGAATTAGTCAGACTAACTCAGAAATGCATTGTTTTCTGAGCTGATTATCCCCCTTCTGGACCTTGGTCACCCTTGCTACATCGACCTTGAAAAAAATAACAAAGATCACAGAACGCATTTCTTACATGGAATGACTGAATGGCCACAAACTACCTCAGTAACTATTCAGAATATATACTGCATGCTCGTTTAGTGGATTTGTAATAAAATAATATGGAAACCATAGTAAAAGGCTAAACCGTAGTAAGGGTGACCAAAGATCCAATACCTGAGACCTGAAGAAGTGTACCAGGGCACCCACAAGCTTCCTTATGTCCCTCCCAACTACACAGCTGGCCCAATAAAAGATACCGTGCTCAAAAGTCCTTGCCTCACACAATTTCTGGACCATCACAGCTACAGCATCCCTTCCAAACTCACTATTTTTCCAAATATTTGTTTAGAAAGCACAGGCAGTTTACAAAGTGTCCACATAATCTACCCGACGCCACTACCCTTGCTCATGTCACTGAGTTTACTTTCAATGGCAATATGATTGCTGTCTTCTGTAAAGGCAGCAAGGGTGTGCACCATATTCTAAATTCTTTAGCCAACATTATGACCTTTGGCAGCAACGGAAGGCAGAATTACAACCTCTCTTTCTACTGGTATCACCAATTACCACTACATGAAGAGCTCTTCCACTTACCTTAATTCTGTGGACCAATGGAGCAAACAGGAACACAAAGAGCTCCACCGTAGCCATGGAATTCTGAAAGAACCTCCTCCTGTTATTCTCTTCCTCATCGTTAGAGATGCTGTGCCTGGGGTGTCCTGGCGATCCCTGGTTTTCAATCTGATGAATAAAGGCGCTACTACTCCCTCCCCAGCTGGAGCCTCGGTCTCCTCCAAACCGGTCATTGCTGCAGTCTTGAGGAGCCTCCAACAGCATCCAGTGGAGAGTGTGAAGCAACTTAGTCTCTGCTACTCCAAGCTTATCCTGATGTCCTGGATAAAACATATACAGTAGTGCATGTGTAGTGTCTCCATATATGCATTCCCTCTTTGCCTTTAAATATCTTATTCCTACATTAAAAGTGTCAAGTTATATAAGTGCTATTATGTCTTGGATAAATATACCTGATTCACAGTTTTCATTTCTACTGCAGTCTGATTGCTGTGGGTGAAGTCATGTGACATATTTACTCCAGAATAAGCTGAAACATGATGGAAAGCCTTGACCCAATCTAAGTCTTCCCACTCTAGAGGAAATTTACCCCTAAGAAAGTGAGGTGTAGCTACACTGCACTCCTAATCAATGTCCCTTTGGGGCATACAGGTAGAACAGAACAATGCAAACAGGTTCCCTGTACAGTATGTACATTAGAACATATCAGAGCAGACTCAATTAATTGAGTCAGCTGGAGCATTCTGATTTGTATTCAGCATCCCATGTTTCAGAATTGTGGCAGGGGCAATTTAACTAAAACTCATTGAATGAGCTTTAGTTAAAGTGCTCCTGTGGCCATTTTGAAATGCAGGATGCTGAATACAAGTAACGCGGCAGCATTTTAATTAGATGGTCTAAGTAAAATGTGCCCCCCCCCCCCCACACCCTCCCTCCCGGAGCATGTGTATAGACTAGGGTTGCCAACTCTGTTGGAATCTATTTCAGAAGAATCTATTCTCTTGCCAATGTTCCCACAAGAGACAACGCCAATGTGTCTGCGACATACAATGTGAACATGCCCATGTGCTTGCGTATATCAGTTACAGATTATGGTGCATAGACGTTACATCAGGAAGGCAAATGTTCATTACTATTACATTTTAAAAACCCATTGGACTACTGTGTACATCATATTTAACATTTATTTTAATGAATGCCCTATCATTATCTCCTGGGTGAGTCTCAGCAGTTTCCTGTAGATTTCTATCTAATTCCTGGAGACTCCAGGGCAATGCTAGAGGGCTGACAACCCTGGTACAGACACCCTAATGGTCAAGTTTTGCAGTAATGCCTACTGAAGGTGGCCTACATGGGAGAGCTGGTCATATGTGCCCACTCATTACTTGATCATTTGTAACCTTTCTTTTCATATTTTTTTTATTCTGCATTGACATCAACATGATGAATCTATAGTATTCCCCTTCCTTTTCATAGCAACAGACACACGTGTTCACCCACAGCAACATGTGCTAACTTGTACACACATTATCTTAACGTTAAACAAAATCTAGGAATTGAAGGGAACAAAAACTGATGAGACAATTGTACTGTGACTGCTTTAGTGTAGCGCTAAACAGAAATAGATTCATACTTAGTTGGTTGCGCAATTCCTTATATACATAAAAATATCTCCATTGATAAGGAAAATACAGACAAATGAAAGCCTAGTAGATATATTTTGTATCAGTTATATCCTTTCAGTCCCATTCATACACTCAGAATGATCTAGGGTTAAGATTTCTCCTAAACAAAAATGAAAGGTATGATGCTAGAGAACTCCAAACTGATTGGAAAATACTAATTTTTCACAACTATTTCAACATGACTGAATCTCCAGTTCTACAGGAATTTTGGATTTTCTTAGTTTGCTTTCCATTTGCAAGAAGTCCATGGCTCTTTCCATTATTTTAGCTGTACTTGAGTTTTAAATATACCAAACTCCTATTACTCTGTTATCTAGAGTTCGGTCAGCAAAGTAATCAGGGGCCACAAGAACATGTGACAAAAATAGTCATATGTGATTAATTTGACTAGGTCTATATGTAAATTGGATAGTATCTGTGGGGATCCAAATGAAGAGGACTAACAGAAACAATGAAAGGCAATCCTACTCAATTTTACTCAAGTGAAAAAACCTTACTAATACAAGTAGTCCCATTTAAATGGTACTATTTGTCCAGGTAAGCTATGCAAATATGGATTAGCAGGATTGGACTCCACATCACTGAGAAAATGTCTGAGAAGCAACTGTTCACAGATCTGCATATAGCTCAGTGGCCCATCCATAAAATTATTGTAACTCCATTTACGTCACTTCTTCCAGTTCACACTGGCTGTGTCTACATGAGACACTGACTGCACAGTAGCCCGCAACTACTGTGCAGTAGCATTGCATCATGCTTCCTGCCACACAATGCTACTGAACAGTAGTCACAAGCTACTGTGCAGTCAGCATCACAAAAAGGTTTATACAAGTACTAAATGACTATGGAGCAACAACTGCAGAGGCAGTGTCTCATGTAGAAGTGGCCACTGTAAATGAAAGGATGGGATTAAGACATATAACATTTAACTGAGCTAAAGCAGAGTTGAAACATTTGGGAGGACATTCACTATGGCAGTGGTCAGCAACCTACAACCCACAGGCTTTGGATCTGACTTGTGGGTGTGGGGCTTTGGCAGCAATTGGCAGCAGTGGGCACCTTCTGTGGGAGCTCTCTCCCTGTGCTGCTGCAGGGACAAATGTTGGCAGTGGGAGCTTTCCTCATGCTGCTGGGGAGACAAGTAGCAGTAGCAGCAGGGGTCCTAGCACCCACCTTCCCACCCATCTCCAGCCTGGGGTTGATCATTCCAGCCCTCAGCCAGAAAATGTTGCCTGCCCCTGACTATAGCAGGCTGAGCACAGCTGTGATGTTTTGACAGATGGTCAAGTATGGTAGGTACTAACCTAGCTTGTTTCGGTTAGACAGCAATGTTGCTGTGCAGTGCAGTACATGTGGTAAGGCAGCTTGCACCAGTTCCCAGCGAGAAATGCTTTGGATGGCTTCAGAAAGGGCCGGAGAAAGACCATGTAGTTTGTTCTCCACTAAAACTCTTTCAAAAGACTATAACAAAGAGAAAGAAACAAAATAACATGCATACATACATTGTCCAAGTGCATATACTGCAGGAACTGAAATATGCTCTTCTAGCGATCTGACAGATAAACAAAATACAATTTAGAATTTTTTTTAATTAAACTGTTCTTTAAATATTTTCCTACAAGGTAAAGACTCTAGCTAATGCTCACTAGACAGATGGATATTCTGTGCTAAGAAGAATTGAGAGATTATATGACTTATTTCTTCTTCTTTTTTAATTAATAAATCACATACACTTTACACTCATTTAAGTACGCAGGGTCAAGTCTGGCTCACAGTTTTGCTGGTGTAAATTTGGAATGATTTTGTTAAAGTCAGTGAACCTGCTCTATTTTTACATTAGTATAACAAAAAGCAAGATTTGACTCAATTTCTTCCTGAAGGTTTTGTATAATATAAAGGGCAGCCTGTTAAAGGCACATAAGCTCTAAGAAAGGTTTTCATACCCAGTATCAAAAACTAATCTGTATGCATAATAAAGGCATACTGTAATATATTTGCAAACAGTTAAGGTTGTTGGATGAAACGCATTGATTATTTCTGCCTCAAGCATTGTAAAATGTGAGCTATGGTACCTATTTTATAAAGAACAAGTCCTAAGAAAGTTTATTATTGTCTAATAGTCAAGCTACTTCTATAAGCCTTTCTTTTGTATATGGCCTGAAAGGTCATTAATACATTTACATTCCTTTGACGTTACTGCTGCACACATGTGCATTTATGATAACCTATGACCTTGCCATACACTTAACTATGCATTCACAAGCTGATTCACCAATTTTGCCATGTTCATAGCTCTAAGGAACTTTGGCATTCATGACCCAAAATATATTTCACATGCCATCACTCCAGATTCACAAAATTCATTCCTCAGCACCAGTCATAATATTCCATCTCCAAGTAAGTGAACAGTAGGAGCAAAACAAAAGGAGACTGATGCATAATTCAGTCATTAACACTGGACAATTAGCCCAAAGTGAGCAGTACCAACCTGCCAGCAACAGAGCAGGTGATATTCTTTTATATACACTAAGGACAGAAAAGGAGGCTTTGCACAAGCTTATTCTGTAAGGTAAAACACTTGGATAGCATTTGACTATAGGTGGAGTTAAGAGCAGTGAAAATGGACCGTGCAACTCCTATAAACAGATGATACATGGAAGGATGTACTGATAGATATGTACAACTGTGTGTTGCTCTAGTGAATCAGACCCTGGAAATAATGAACAAATGTTAGTGCCATACTTTCTCACATACCACACACAACCAAATAAGACACACTTTGTTTTGGGGAAGGCAGAATGAATAATTGTTTTTCAGTTATGGCTGCATGGGGCAAGGGTAGACCCTAATCTTCAGCTCACTCAACTTCCCTTTCCTGCTCAGGCAAAAGCTATAATTTTAACCCTGCCAAACCAGAACTGGCTTCTTTTGCCTCAGTAAAAATGGGAGGATGAATGAACTGAAGATTCGGTTCTGTCTATGCTTCAATTAAGCTATGAAAGGATTAAAACTGCAGCTGCTGCTGAAGATTGGACTCTCCCCTCCTTTCATGCAGCTGCTGCAGGGAAATAAGGAAAAGCAGAAGTAGTCATCTTGCAGCATCTCCCTGCTTCTATTCCAGGCAGAAGAATCAGCTCCAAGACATGGACCTAAGACATGAACCACAATTTTGAAGTACAGTTTTTTGGGAACAGAGTGCATGTAGTATGTGATTAAATATGGTACTTACAGGTGTGAAATGAATCATTATACTGGATTGTCGAAATGGATGGGTCTGCTAGCACTCTATTCTGACGAAAGGAAAGAAACAATTAAGGTCCTTTAAAGAAGAAGGCAGCTGTAATGAGACGGTGTACCGGCCAGATGGAAGGTCTAAATAAGAACTAACTCCAGGAGAAGAGAGCCTTCCTCAGTATAAGTGAAACAATTAGGCCAATGATTAGATTGCATTTCTTTGCATGCATAACCATTTGTATCTTAGGCCCTTGACAGACATTACACTTAAGACATAGTTAACTGGCTAATCTCATCAGATGCTGGAAGCACCCCTCAGCTGTTTGAGGCTCCCAGAGAAAGAGTACACCATGCACTCCTGCAGCTGGGAGCTCCAATCAGCTGATCAGGGATCCCCAGCTGGGAGCCCTGACCAGCTGTAGGGGGCATGGGAGTGCACTGTGTAATAGATGGGAGCCCCTGTCAGCTGAAAAAATAAGCAGAAAGCCAGAGAACCAGTAAGTAGTGTGGAAGAAAGCCAAGACAGAGAGAGAGAGAGAGATTCTGCAAGTATGTCACAACAAGAGAAAAATCAGGCAAAGTGTGGGTCCCTTACTGAATGAGGGAGGGAACCTAGTGACAGATGATGAGGAAAAGACTGAAGTACTCAATGCCTTTTTTTACCTCAGACTTCATAGGCAAGGTCAGCTCCCAAAAGACTGCACCTGGCAGTATAGTTTGGAAAAAAAGTGAACAGCCAACAGTGGCAAAATAATAGGTTAGGGACTATGTAGAAAAGCTGGACACATACAAGTCCATGGTGTTGACTGAGGGAGTTGGCTGATGTAATTGCAGAGCCACTGGCCATTATCTTTGAAAACTCATGGCAATCAGAAGAGGTCCTGAACAATTGAAAAAAGACAGATATAGTGCCCATCTTTAAGAAAGGGAAGAAGGAAGATCCAGAGAACTACAGACTGGTCAGCCTCACCTCAGTCCCTGGAAAAATCATGGAACGGGTCCTCAAGGAATCCATTTTTAAGCATTTGGAAGAGAAAAAGTTTATTAGGAACAGTCAGCATGGATTCACCAAGGGCATGTCATGCCTGACCAACCTGATTGCCTTCTGTGATAAGATGACTGGCTCTGTGGATATGTGGAGACCAGTGGATGTGAAATAACTTGACTTTAGCAAGGCTTTTGATAGTCTCCCACAACATTCTTGCAAGGAAGTTAAGAAAATACAGACTGGATGAATGGACTGTAAGGTGGATAGAAAACTGGTTGGATCATTGGGCTCAAAGTATAGTAATCAATGGCTCAATTTCTACATGGCAGCTGGTATCAAGTGGAATGCCCCAAGGGCTGGTCCTGGGGCCTGTTTTGTTTAATATCTTCATCAACAGCCTGGAGGATAGGATGGAGTGCTTCTTCAGCAAGTTTGCAGATGACACCAAGCTAGTGGCAGTAGTAGATACACTGGAGGGTGTGGCTAGGATTGAGAGAGACCTCAAAAAATTGGAGGATTGGACTAAAAATTCGAGGAGCAGACAGTTTCCCATATGGTCTAGCAGTTAGGATTCCTGGTTTTCACCCAAGTTCAGCTCCTGGTGTGGGAAGTTCTAGTTTTACCTAGGGGTAATAATAGACCACAGTATGAACATGAGCCGACAGAGTGATGCTGTAGCCAGCAGGGCAAGCAATACTCTAGTATGCATCAACTCATGCATCTCAAGCAAAACCAAGGAAGTGATTCTTCCACTTTACTCAGCATTGGTGAGACCCCATCTGGAGAACTGCATCCAATTCCGGGTGCCACACTTCAACAAGGATGTGGAAAGGTTTGAGAGAGTCCAGAGAAGGGCCACCTGTATGATCAGAGACCTGCAAGGCAAGCCATATGAGGAAAGGCTGAGGGACTTCGGCCTCTTCAGCCTGAAAAAAAGAAGGCTGAGAGGGGACTTGATAGCAGTTTACCGCTATGTCAGGGGAGTACATCAGGGGCTCGGTGAACCAGGGTGCCCTTGGGAAGAACTAGGAGTAAGTGGCCAGGAGTAAGTGGAAGACAGTTTCAGGCTCAACATTAGGAAAACTTCTTCATAGTTAGGGTGTCCAGACTGGAATAAACTCCCTCCAAATCACCTACCCTGGAAATCTTCAAGAGGAGACTGGACTGTCACCTCACTAGGATCACCTGACCCCAGTTGTCTTTCTTGCCTAGTGCAGGGGGGCTGGACCTGAGACATTGCGAGGCCCTTCCAGCCCCTTACAATCTATGAATCTATGAATAAAAGAAATCTCATGAGGTTAAATAAGGAGAAGTGTGAAGTCCTACACTTAGGAAAGAACAATTCCATGCACCAGTACAGGCTGGAGACCAACGGGCTAAGCAGCAACTCAGCAGAAAAGGACCTGGTGCCTACAATGGACAATAATCTGAATATGAGCCAACACTGTGCCCTTGTTGCTAAGAAGGTTAATGGCATATTGGTCTGCATTAGTAGGAGCACTGCCAGCAGATTGAGAGAAGTGATTATTCTCCTCTATTCAGCACAGGTGAGGCTATATCTGGAGTACTGTGTCTAGTTTTGGGCCCCCCACTACAGAAAGGATGTGGACAAATTGGAAAGAGTCTAGCAGAGGGCAACAAAAATGGTGAGGGGGCTAGGGCACATGACTTCTGAGGAGAGGCTGAGGAAATGGACTTATTTAGTCTGGAGAAGGCAAGACTGAGACAGGATTTAATAGCAGCCTTCAAGTACCTTAACAGTGGTTACAAAGAAAAAGGAGCTAGACTGATCTCAGTGGTAGCAGATGACAGAACAAGGAACAATAATCTCAAGATGCAGCAAGGGACGTTTAGGTTAGATATTAGGAAGAACTTTCTCACAAGAAGGGTAGTAAAGTACAGGAACAGGTTATCCAGAGAAGTTTTATAATCTCCGTCCTTGGAGGTTTTTAAGACCTAGGTAGACAAAGCTTTGACTGGAATGATCTAGTTGGGGATGGCTCTGCTTTGAGCAGGTGGTTGGACTAGGTGACATCCTGAGGTCCCTTCCAACCTTAATTTTCTATCATTCTATGATTCTAGAGAGAGTATGAGCATCTTTTAAGCAGAGGAGTGGCTGGAAGCAGGCTTGGACTTTGTACAAGGAAACTGTCTCCTATTAATTTCTACTTTGCGAAGGAAAACAAGGCTTTGTGTATTTTGTTTATAAACAAATAGGATAGCACCAAAGACCTAGCTG